TTCCCTCAAAGCGGGAAGCACTGTTTCCATCCTACATAGAGGAAAAGATGACTTTGCCTGGAGCATGCTACCAACTTACATGAAACAAACTGCTTCCACCAGCTTATCTCGATTTTGCCAGAGTTTACTTTGGCCAAGAGCTGCACTTTTTCCACACAAAATCCTCACTGAACTACTGAAATCATTATTCAGTGTAATACTTTTTCACTTATGAAAAGGTCATAAGCCATCTTATACCGAGTACAGATATTTTAAGGCAAAAGGGAATTTAGATTTCTCAACAATGGGGGTTTTAACATGTACTGCTTGCCAATATAATGAGTGCATCCAAGAAATATGACTCAAGTCTTCATGTTTCTTGAAGCTAGGAACTGTCTTGTCTGCTAAACGTGCCAGAGTTTTCCATGGATGTGACTTGGCTTCTATTTTTGCTCTCCCTGTATTATCTTGAATTAGATTGCAGGCACGATGCAACCTAAATACATATACACAAAGATAAAAAAAATTTTCTTGACATGTCATGGAATTAGGGAAAAGTAACATTAGTTTTATTTATGCACTTCTCTTCACACTGAATTTCTGGCATTTTAGCAGATGACTCCCCACGAGAATGTTCTTTCAATCTCATTTAATCCCCAGCCCACCTCTCTTGACTGCAGCAAAGGAAATTCCAGTGTCTAGGCAACTATTCCTCTTCCCTGGAAGTGTCAGACATTCGGACCACGTGGGGAGATAAAGAGCTCTTCTGCTGACTCATCTTGGCAGCCAGACCAGGTGAGCTTCCTTAGGTCCAACACAGGGCTAGAAAAGGGGCTAGGAAAAACTAAAATCTAAAATGTCTGGATGGGGAAAAAATAAAAAAAATAATAAAAAAAAAAAAGGCTCTCGAACAAGCCAGGAAGGAATTGGTCCTACCAACTGTTCTTGCAAATATTCAACCTGCAAAAATTCAACGTTCAAGCCACCCAGATTTGCCCTAACAGAGAGCTTACCTGAAGCGCTCAAGAAAAAAGGTCTGCCACTGTACATCTGAGAGCTCGCCCTAACCCCTTGAGCTTGTGTCTACGAATCCATATCCAAGATGTCAATAACCCAAAAAGTACTTTATTGTGGAACTAGGTGAGGAAAGGAGCAGTGAAGAGAATTGTTTGGCACTTAGCTTTGTTCCAAGTCTTCCCTAGCAGGCTTCCTGCAAATACCTTACCAGCATAGTTTTGGACATGTTTATGCAACCAGGTTCCCTCACCACAGCAAGAGGTAATAGTTAACCCCGTTTCCAAAAGCAACATTGGCTCTTAACGTGTAAGGGATGCTGGGGGAGCTGGATCCTTGGGCCTTAAAGCCTGGATTCAGAGAGACACGTAAGAATCTATGTTTCGCTGATTTGCTTGTGGGCCTGTGTGAAACCTTATCTCAGCCATGAGCTTGATTGGTTGTCAGTATACAAAACAACATCGACACAAACTGATAACAAACATGAGTGAGTACTGCAAAAATAGTCTAAGAACTCACTCAGGTAAGGTCAAGAAATTCACATCAGTTACTAGGACCCCGTTTCTTCTATTTTTTTTTTTGCACACAGCTGTATGCACGGCAGTGCATTCCCAAGAAAGCCTGCAGAAAGGAAGACGAGCATGAATACTCATGGAATTCTGTATTCTCATGAACATTCGCACCTGAATAGTGCGTCCTGCCATCTCCGAATGCTCTTTGTAGGCCTGGGAGTAGAACTGCTCTCAACGCGATTTAAGGGACCCAATGCACATTGCAAAGTTTCTTTGCAGAGCATCTATGTTACCGTCTCCTGGCATGATTCTTTTGTGGAAGAGGACCTTTTCAGGCAATTCTTGACAGGTATTTCTAGCTTTATAGTATCTAATTAGGATTTTAAGCTCCTTGGAATAGTACTACCTGACTTCATCTATCCCCGAAGCACCATAAACAGTTCCAGTATTATAAAAATAACAACTCGACTGATCTACGTGCAACCTGTATTAGGTGCCCTGTCAGTTCTATTGGTTTGTGGATTTGCAAATAAAGCCTGGTTCAGACTTCGTATCTTACTGCCACAGTATAATCTCAAAAGGGCTCAGAAAACATACAGGATTAGTCAATACAAAGTTTGGCACTCAAAGAGATGGGGTGTCCAAATCGTAACATTCAAAGATTAAGAAAACATTTGGGTACAAACAGTTAGTGGAACTACCTCAACAATTTCACTGGGAAGCATGATTCATTCTTATTAAAATGAATTTGCTACTAGTAAATATATTGCTAAACCTTAACTGAAAATTGCTTTCTAGCGTGACTTTTAGAAACAGGTATTGCATCTCATTTCTCTGGGCAAAGTTGGGACCGGGAACACATCTGGGAAGACATCAGGGTTTATTGCCAGATGCTGAAATGACATGCTGAGACACGGGTTAATTCACATTCTGTTTCTGTGGGCCCTCTTCTTACCTGTGCAATGGAGTTAATTGTACCTTTGCTTCTCTTACGAACTATCACCACGAAACTTATTTTCAGGTGAAAACTGTGCTCTCTTTCTATTTTGATATTTTTTCCCCCCCCCCCCCCCTTACTTTATACAGTTTCCTTGTGTCACCAGTTACAGTACAATACGTTTTCTGATTTTTATCACAAGAGGTGTAGTTATATTGTGTGGTATTACAAATGCATCTTACTCTGTTTAAGATGAGAAATAAGCAACTTTGAGCTATAAAAGCAGGCTCTTTTCATATTTTTGGTGAATTTAGCAGCTATTTTGAATATTTGATATTTGCCAAAATGTTTTCCATTTCAAACACGAGCTTTAAAGAAGACAGCCTTCTCTGTATCTTAAAGCAAGTCTACATCAAGCTCAAGGTAGCAGCTGTTACTGCTAAATATTCTTAAAAACAGCAGACTTAAAAAAAATTGTTTGCTGGATGCAGTTAGATGAAGTGAGAATTTCTTTAAATACTTCCTCCTTTCCCCAGGAACATGAGAAATATAATTCCACAAGAAGCACTTTCATCTCACTAGTGTTTCATGGCAAAGAACCACTGTTGAATGCATTGTTGAAAGATATCAAAAGGAAAAAGGACACATGCCTTCCCTTTCCATGTGTGTGTGTGTGTATATATATATGTATATATATATATATATATAATAATTACAAGTTTGAAGAGCTGACAAACTTGATTACAGAAACATTATGGTCTGTGTCAACTAGTATAGCAACACCACTTCAAGGATCATAGAACGGTTGAGGTTGGAAGGGACCTCTGAAGATCGTCTGGTCCAACCGCCCTGCTCAAGCACGGCCACCCAGAGCCAGCTGCCCAGGACCATGCCAGATGGCTTTTGAGTATCTCCAAGGATGGAGACTCCACAACCTCTCCGGCCAACCTGTGCCAGTGCTCAGTCACCCTCACAGTAGAAAGTGTTTCCTGATATTCAGAGGGAACCTCCTGTGTTTTGGTTTGCGCCCATTGCCTCTGGTCCTGTCACTGGGAACCACTGAATAGATCCTGGCTCCATATTCTTTGCACCCTCCCTTCAGGTATAGAATCATAGAATCGTTAAGGTTGGAAAAGACTCTTAAGATCATCGAGTCCAACCGTTAGCCTAGCACTGCCAAGTATCTCTATACACTGATCAGATCGCCCTGAGCTTTCTCTTCTCCAGGCTAAGCAGTCCCAGCTCTCCCAGGCTTTCCTCATAGGAGAGATGCTCCAGTCCCTTAATCATCTTTGTGGCCCTTCTTCAGACTCTCTCCATGTCTCTCTTGTACCAAGGAGCCCAGGACTGAACACAGCACTCCAGGTGTGGCCTCACCAGTGCTGAGCAGAGGGGAAGGATCGCCTCCCTCGACCTGCTGGCAATACTTTGTCTAATGCAGCCCAGGATACCATTCGCCTTCTTTGCAGCAAGGACCCATTGCTGGCTCATGGTCAACTTGGTGTTCACCGGGACCCCCAGGTCCTTTTCTGCCAAGCTGCTTTCCAGCTGAACAGCCCCCAGCATGTACTGGTGCCTGGGGTTGTTCCTCCCCAGCTGCAGGACTTTGCACTTCTCCTTGTTGAACTTCACAAAGTTCCTGTCAGCTCGTTTCTCCAGCCTGTAGTGGTCCCTCTGGATGGCAGCATGACTCTCTGGCATATCAGCCACTCCTCCCAGTTTTGTGTCATTTGCAACCTTGCTGAGGGTACATCTACTGGGGAAACTGCTTGAAACATCTACTGGGGAAACTGAAACAAAACACATGAATGTTTCATTTAACTTAGATTACATATCTGACCACAGCAAAGCAGAGCAGATTTCAAGGAGAGACGATAAAACTGCACTCTAATCTTCTGAGCTTTATACCATAATGCTGACAAGGGCATCATTCCTTTCAGGTTGAAAAGTTCTACTCAACACTGTCATGTGATAGCAAGGCTAAAAGGAAGGAAAACACGGGTCACTCAGAATGAAAAGACAGATGCAGAAAATCATAAGGTGAAAGGCTTTGAGAAAGCTGTTTGTATTTGAAAATTTCAGAATCAGATAATTTCTAAAAATATTTAAACAAAATCATTCATTTATGCAAATGCATTAACCCAGGAAGAGCCAAAACCAAAAAACAAACATCCAGTAGGAAGATTTTCTTTACAATAAAAATTCTTCTAGGAAGTATATTAAATATGACAAGAGGGGAAAAAACCATCTCACAATTTATATTCAAGGGCATCACATTTTAGAACAATGTCTTAGCCATTAATCATTTATAAATGATTCACAAAGAAATTAAATACACTATTCCATAAAAGAATAATCTAATTTACAGTTTAGATGTAAGGCTTCACCATAACATCTCATACCCTTCACCTGGCTCTTTGCATACCCAAGTTGAGCGATCTGTACTTACTCTCCTACCAGAGTAACACAGCATGGTGGTCCTCAGAAACACAGGTAGTGTTCAGGTTTACTTTTTAAGGTTCAACAAAAAAGTATTACTAGAAAGTGTCCTATTATTTGTCACAATAAAGGCAAATGAAAAGCTAGGATAAATAGATAAGTTATATTTGCCAGTCCAAGACTGAGGGAATGGATTAAATTACACCTTGAAAAAAAAAAAAACTGAAAAAACAAAAACCAACAAGTGTCTAGCTGCTAGTTATGCCATCGTATTATTAGTCACTGTGCACAACTGGGACACCGCAACCCCAAATCACAGACTAGAAACACAGTGCTGCCTTTAAACACAGTATGTAACTTCTGTGTGAAAAAAGTTGGGACAAAAATAATGAGAACTATCCATCTCCATAGCTATTATAAGCGTAAGAACTATTTGCTTTACAGAGCTCCAGTTTATTCAAAATACTGAATGTAATACTTGGTCTCCTTATGCATCAAGTACAAATCAGAGAAAAACCCTGCCCCAAAACACTCATTGTCAATGACAAAACATTGCCAGAAATCTCGTATTTGCAACACAGTTACCTGGTGTTGCAGTTAGCATATTAATTCTGCAGGCAACAGTCACAAGTACTTACTAAAAATACAGATATGTTTCCTAAAAGTAAAGTGAAACTTTATTTAAGATGACAAAGCTTTTGTAACAGTGCAGGGTGCAAATTTTCGGTATGAAGACATTCAGAAGATTTGCTGCTCAAAGAGGATCTTTTCAAACCCTGGTGGAGGTGTATGATAAAATTCACTGAACTGACAATCCAGGATGGCACTGTCATCAACTGCAGAACAGAACCAAACAAAAGGAATTAGAGAAGGAACTCTTACAGTTTGATCCTCTATTACACCATCTCACTAGATTATATACTATGCTCAAACCATGAAGAATATTCTCCAATACATCCATTACATATATACAATTAAAAGAAATCTCTTCAACAAATTTGCTAAAGCCCTACACACATACCCAAAGAGAGCAAATCATCTCTCTTTTCTGCTGTTTACTTCAGTCGGTAATGGTCCTTGGTGAAGTCAATGAGAACGCTACCTCTGATTTCATTGGGAGTGTTAGCAGGGCTTCAGGCCATTCCCTCCAAATTTTTTACTCTATTTCTCTGGAAATCTACAGATTAAGAACACTACCAGATACATATTGCAGGGCTGTCACCTCCTCAGATGCATATTTTTCTGTCCACTTCCTAATTCTGCTGGAGCGTCAGCTGTCTGCAATGATTTTTCTAGAGATTTACAAGGTTTCAGATGTCTGCAGTGGTTGGGGTCAGACCATCTGTTCTAGCACGTGATCCAAAGAGAGCTTCTTTGACTGCTTCTTTAAGTTGGAAGTTAATGGTTTTTTTACAATACCTCTCCCAGTTTTGGACGCCCTGAATAACCTGAGACACAAGTGTTACTACCTTCAACATAGAATATAAAAAAGAAACCGCTGAGGATTTTCAGAGCAAAGCTTTCATGTATTGCATTAGGAAACTGAAATACCCAACCAGTCAGAAAAGCAAGATCTCTTTCAAAGACAACTTCTTCCAAGATGACAACATTAGATCAAAATAGAAAAGCTTCATCTCCATGTTTTGGTTGGGAAGTTAAGATATCTCAGAGCCAATGTAGGAATTTTTCCCTCCTTGGCTCAGTTAAAACTCCTATTAGTGTATCTGTACAGTTCTGAAGTGTTTGCATCTCACTTCTGCAAAAGTGCCTGAGGTACAGCTGCTGTACGGAACAACCTTTAAGTCCATTTTTCTGTTTTACATTCTCAAGCTTGACACTGTGTTCCTGCTCTATCATGTTTCTTTTGAAAAGATATCTATAGTTCTAGTCTGAATTATGGACAAGGTAAATGCTTAAGAAACCCTTTTCTCTATGGTCAAATCCTTTCACAGGACTAGAAGAAGTTCACATTAAATTAAGTACATTTATAGTTAAAGTTTATACCAAGTAAGTACCACGCAAAAGCAATTTGCAGGCTTCAATTGTTATAGCTATATGTAGGAGACATGATAATTACAATGAAATTATGCCCACTTGTGGAAGATGATAATAAGAGCCTGGCAATAAAAGGTCACTGCATTCCCCAGGCACAGAACTCAGAGGAAAGAGTTTACAGCAGGCTAACATGCCACCAAATGTTTTCTGAGAGCAGCCTGCATTCTTCATGCTATGTAACACCATTTCCAAAATATAGGGAAGATGCAACAATCCATTATCACACAGCAACTCTTTTCCCGCTGCTCATGAAGCTTTTTGCACCAGGAGATCCCGCAGTGCTGCAGGGCAGCTACTGTCTGCCACGGCATTTTAGCAGCGCCATCGCGTGGCTTAAGAACACATCACAAAATGACCACATAAAACGATTTCCACTAAGAGCTTGGAAAGATATAATTTGTCAGCTACATTTATACACTTCAAAGGCTCTACAACACATCTAGAGTATTTTCTTCCTGTTTGTAAAATTCAGTATTATAAATGTATCAAGATACAAATGGGAACATGCCAACACTTCATTAGGAACCGACCACGAAATGAAAAAATTATCCACATCACACATCTAATGGTATCTTACGCGCAAAATGATTTTGGAAGACGCTACTACTTAGATGAAGCTCATGCAGGACTAAAAGATAAACTGGAGATGGCTGTAGGTGTAGTACAGGGAATCTGATGAGCCGTTATCGTTTGCTGTCAGTGACAAACCAACCCAGAGCGTAGCACTGATTACACACTGAGCGAGGGGAAGCGCTGCCTTTCAGAGGAGATGTTAAACAGAATTCTGACTACTTGGGAACTACAAAACCACCGCCAAGCTCTGGAAGAGTAAATTGTTAACACATGTCTTGGCCAAATTCCAGCTTCCATAATTCATAAATTCTTTCTTAAACTGCCTATGCAGGGATTAATTGGATATGGTATTTGTTTCTTGTTCAAAACTGCTGTGTTCTATCGATGGTTGCTGGGAAAACAGCTACCACAATTCGCTCACCAATTGTTGGATTTCAAAACTGGGCATCAATTTGGTATAGCAGCAAAAGAGCCGTACCACTATACAGCAAGCAGCTGTACTAGTACTACATTAAAGTTATTACTTCCATAAGAAAATACAAACAGCAATTCAGTCTCTATCCATATGTAACACTGAATGCATTTGTGAAGTACGTGAAATTAGAGATAAATCAGATTAGCCCACAAGTCTACATTAGTTTGCATTTGTTGATTTTCTTTTTTTCATCTGTTTCACAGGTTTTTTTACCTGGTAATTTTTAGACTGAGTGCAGCAACTCCCCAGCTTGTTGGATGTGGATGCTGTAAGCAGTCAGTAAGCGGTGCTTTTTTTCCTAGCTATCAAGCAGCATTAAAAATGAGGTGGAAATATACTTTTCTGTTTTCCTAGGTTTGCATTTTCATGCAATTTATTGTTGTAGTTGACAAAAATAAATGATTGATGTGTGTTCCATTTAAGTGAGAAGAAGAATACATAGCTCACAAGACAGACTTGGTACAACAATATTGTCCATACTGTGAAACAGTTTGAAAATCTCTGACTTACCATAGACCACTGGATAGACAGTCCCTCGGATTCCTGAAGCTGGACAATGCATGTTCTTCCCATTTAAATATACATTTAATTCTACATGGTCATATGTAATGCCCTACAAAGCACAGAAAATGAACAAAAAAGCATCAACAAGTTTACACACGTAAGATTGCTACTTAATTTAGCTTTCTCAGCCACAGGCAAATTTTAACACCATTATGCAAACCATAGCATCCTAGAAAACCTCACTTGAAATATTCCTGCGAAGGACTGGAAGTTAATAAATGACCAGTAACATTTGATTTTCAAACACTCAGGATTCCTTAACGCTCATTCAATTGGGATGCAGCGCAGTACTCCACACCGCATCTTACTAAGTTTACAAAACAAATTTCCAGTCTGTTCTTCACCATGTTAAAGAAACACAGAATTTTCAATTATTTTGAATATTAAGCAGTTTGCAGTCTTCTTGTTTGTATCTCCTCACAGAAATAACTTTAATAAATAGTGATGGCATGAATTAAGTTTATCTGTCCATACTTCCCTATGGAAACCTCTACTTAGCTCATTTACTCTGCCAGCAGCAACAGACCATGGTTTCATACACAATGCTATAAATATGCTGACTACAGAGCAGAAAGCAAACACTAACAGGGTAATAAATTACTTATTTGTTAGCTAAATGATTTTTCTCACTGTTTTGGTATGGCTGAGTGTGACAATTTGTGTTGTCATTCAGTACTTCAGAAATCTATTTTCGTGACAGAACAAAATAAATTTAAATTCTGAAAACTGGGGAGTTAGCAGTAACACATCAGCTACTTTTCTGTGATTAGTTGAAGCTGTTCAGATTGCATAGGTTGACCAAATCCTGAATCAATCTGCAACCCTCCAAAAAAACAATTTCAGAAGGGGGTTAAAAGAATAATATAGTATCTGAGGGTAAAGGATGGAGGCGTCAACCTTAGCTGTTTAGGGCTCCTAAAGAAGAAATTTCTAACCATTGCTATATAGAGGCAAGGTTACCCAGCAAGAAAAAGTAGCGGTGATAAATGGTCTAAATTTCATTGCATTGCTTCCATGTCTTTTTGAAAATAAATCGCTAATAGGACATTAAAAAAATTACAGCAATAGAACACAATCCTTTGGACAAAGTCACCCAAATATGTTTTCCAGAAACCTGGAATAGTAAGGTACAAAAAAAATCTTAAGATTCTCCATTTGCTCTCATTCTTAATCATTTTCCCAGTGAGCATTACCCCCTCCCCACTTCGTATCTCTCCTTCCCTACAAAAGTTTGGCTAAAAATACAATTCATTTATCACCCAGGACCTATCCCTGCTCATCTCTGTTCTTCTAATCATTAACCAGTTAGCTACGGGATCTTGGGTTCAGCTGGGCATGGCGCATAGCTATGTAATGCGCTCCAGCACATTATTTGTTCAGGAAGGTCCCATCTCAAACAACGTAGGATCCTTGTGATGGGAGGTACCCGTCAGGTAGATATTGCAACAGAGCATTAGAGGCTACTTTCCAAACACTGGTAAAGTCTGTCCCTCATTCAGAAACATATCGACGCTGAGAATTAAGTCCACAGATATCCAGGCTGCTGATCCGTTCAAACACAACAGGAGTTTGCATCAGCACTCTCCAAACTGGGAGATGCAAGCCAAACCATTTGACTGAAATGGTCAGTCTGACCACAGAGCTGTAAATAAGAGGAATCTGGGAACAGCTGGGGAAGTAAAGAAGCCTTAAGAAACTCACCACCACATCGCCCTCCTGAGGAAGGTTGTTTGCTGGTAGCCTATTTTTCTCCTCATTGTTATAGTAGAGAGCTCCATCATTTCTCATCACCAGGCTATGGACATCTCGACCAAGTGGAATTTGATTCAAGTTTGCTTTCTGGGTTGCAACTCCAATACCCCAAATCCCTAAAATGTGATATTAACATGGTAAGAAAAAAAAAAACCGAACACATTATTTTGAAGACTAAAGCAGAACAGCATAAAGAATGTGTTTTTAACTAGTGTCAAGGCAGTACTACCAGTAAGTATCTCTTGGAAATACCAGGACCATTGTGGGATAGCCCTCGTAGGCAGCTAAGCACCACCCAGCCACCCACTGACTCACTTCCCCCCACAGGCCCCAGTGGGATGGAGGAAGAGGAAAGGAAAACCGAGAAAACTTGTGGGTAAAGATAAAAACTGTTTAATAAGCAAAGGAGAAGTGGAAGAACGAAAGAAAACAAAACAAGACTAGATGTAAGGAAGAACTTTTTACATCGAGGGTGGTGAAACACTGGAACAGGTTGCCCAGAGAGGTGGTAGATGCCCCATCCTTGGAAACATTCAAGGACAGGCTGGATGGGGCTCTGAGCAACCTGATCTAGTTGTAGATGTCCCTGGCAATTGCAGGGGGGACGGACTAGATGACCTTTAAAGGTCCCTTCCATCCCAAAGCATTCTATGATTCTAAGACAAAGGGATGCAATGCCAATCACTCACCACCTCCCACAGGAAGAACGATGCCCAGCCAATTCCCAAGCAAAAGATGGCTAACCTCCCTAAATCCCCTCCTCTCCCTTTTGTTGCTGAGCATGACATTATGCGGCATGGAATATCTCTTTGGTTAGTTCGGGTCATCTGCCTGGTTGTGTCTCCTCACAACCTCTTGCGCACCCCCAATCTTATTCACTGGAGGGGCAGAGTGAGAAACAGAGAAGGCCTCGATGCTGTGCAAACACTGCTCAGCAATAGCTAAAACATTAGAGTGTTATCAGTATTGTTTTGGTCACAAATCTAAAACACAGCACCACAGGAGCTGCTATGATGAAAATTAACTCCATCCCAGCCAGACCCAGTACAAGCTGTCACAAGAGACTGAAGATAAAACAGCATCTATCCTGAAAAAGAAGGATTCAGAGAATTGTAACCACTTAGCTTAACTTTTATTCCCAGAAAAATATTGAAAACAAACTCTGCGACTGTAGGAGGATGTAAAAAATAACTCCAACTAGCATGGATTTGTGAACAACACCATTTCATTTTTCAGCTGGTTAGACTAGTCTTAGGGAAAAAGAAGAAATTGTAAATATGATACATCTTGATTTGGTAATGTTTTTGAAACTCATACAGCATTATATAGTCAAATTATGAAAACATGGTCTAGACAGTTACAGCAACATGAATGCACAACTGGTTAGAAAACTGTATTCCAGGACTACTCATCAGTAGCACCCTGCCAAATCAAAACAGATGACTCAAGTGGGGTTTGACGTTTTGCACTGAATGCACAAGGTCAGATACTGTTCCGTGTTCACATCAACGACCTGGATAACGTGACGATGCGCTTATTAAACGTTCTGCCAATACCAACCTGACAGGATGGCAAGCTCTTCAGGGGCCACTCAAGTTTTAAATGATCCTGACAAATTGGTTAAGAGGTCTGAAATAAGGAAAATGCATTTGGTTTTTCTAAATTACGCAGAACAGCAGGTAAGTAGGAATAGTAAGTGGCACAAATACAACAGCGGCGTGGCAACCATTTCATGGAATGTAATTTGGGCGTTATCAGAGACCACATGCTGAGTGTGAGTCTGCGCCCCACTGTGGTGAAAAACTTCTGGATATATGGCATGTATAAAGCAGACATATTGTATGTAGAGCAGATGAAGGACATCTACTGCTGCTGCAGCTGGAGCAGAGCATCCATTTTAAGCATCATACCTCAAGACAAATTAGGTCAATTAGAGATATTCTAGAAGAAGCAACAAAACCAATCAGAAGTGTAAAAACATCATCTATAAGGAGACAATGAAAAAAAAAAGAAACTGGGACTGTTTAATCTACAGAAGACTAAAATGGGGCAAAAATATAAGAAAATTAGTTTCAAAAAACAAAATTGCGAACAACTTATTCTAATACTTAAATGCCCAGAATGAAAAGGACAAGACTGTGAACAAGATTCAGTTTAGCCTTCAGAAAACTTTCCAATAGTCAGGGTGACCCCACAGATGACCCCTAATAGATTGTGCAGGGACACTTCTGGGAATCGAAGTTTTAAGTTAAGTGATCTACAGTTCTCATACCCTGGGGCACAGAAATAGACAAGACACAGCTCATAGGGACCAGGAGAGTTTATTTCTTGTTTTTCTGAAGTATAAGAACATGGATACTGTATCTGTGTGAATAATGACCATATACTAACAACAGCTGCAGCGGATTCTTCCCTCAACGGAGAGGATACGAAAACTGCCAAGTTAAGACTGATCTGAGGTTTACATGTAGTTTAAAACTAAACAACTGGTTTGACTGCAAGGTGTTTTGGACAGATTTGTGTTCACACTGCCTGCACTCTAATCCAATGAATGCAAACAACCGTCACCCAAAAAACGCTGGGTTCAAGCTCCAGCTGGTATCGTAAGGCCTGTCTCTGGAATAACACTTCCCTTCTTCCCTCCCCCTACACACTTAGGGA